CCTCAGCAGTGTCACTGGGGACCCTCTGGGGAGACTAGGCTCCCAACCCTACCCAGAGACAAGACGTCTCTCCCCTTCCTTACTGGTGTGGTGTCAGTGGAGGCCACGTGGGGAGCTGGAACTCCTCCGCAACCCCAGCCCAGCAGTACTGAGGATCCCTGTCCCACGTATCAACAGAGGCCAATGATGGACTGGGACTTCCAACACCAACTTATAGTCATAAGGCAGTGTCCCCCCAACCCTTTCCACCAGAGCAGTGTCAGAGGAAGGCTGCCCAGACGGAAGCTCCAAACAGAATCAGGGCCTCATAATACTCAAAATGTCCAGATTTCAATGGAAAATCACTCATCACACAAAAACCAGGAAAATCTCAACCTGAGTGAGATGATCCACAGATGCTGACACTGACATGGCACAGATGTGAGAATTACCTGACAAGGATTTTCAAACAGTCATTATAACAATGCCTTGGTGAGCAATTACAAACACACCTGACACAAATTTAAAAAATAGAAGTCTCAGCAGAGAAACAGAATAGAGAATCAAATGCAAGTGAAAAATACAATAACTGACATAAAACCCAATAATGGGCTCAAATAGTAGAATGGAAGGGACAGAGGAACCAGTGAACTTGAAGACAGAACAACAGAAAAAACCCAATCTGAACAACAAAGAGAAAATTGCTATGGACTGAACTGTGTCCCCTGAATTTATATGTTGAAGCCCTAACCCCCAATATGACTGTATTTAGAGATGGGGCTTTTAGAAGGTAATTAGGTTAAATGAGGTTATAAGTATGGGGTCTTAATGTGATAAGACTGGTAGACTTCTAAGAAGAGGGGGAAAGAATTCTCTCTCCACACCCATGAACTGAGGGAAGGCCATGAGAACACAGCAAGAAGGTGGTCACCTGCAAGCCAGGAAGAGAGCTCCTACCAGAAACCAAATCTGCTGGCCCCTTGAAACCAAATCATCTTAGCCTTCCCAGCTCCAGAGCTGTGAGAATTAAATCTCTGTTTGAGCCACCCAGCCTATGGTACAGGCACACCTCACAGATATTGTGCGTTCAGTTCCAGAAAGCCACAATAAAGTGAATATCGCAACAGTGAGTCACATACTGTTTTCTGGTTTCCCAGTGCATATAAAAGTTATCTTTATACTGTAGTCTGTCAAGTTTGCAATGGTATTATGTCTAAAAAACAAGTATGTACCTCGATTTAAAAATACTTTATTGCAGGCTTCCCTGGTGGCGCAGTGGTTGAGAGTCCGCCTGCTGATGCAGGGGACACGGGCTTGTGCCCCGGTCCGGGAAGATCCCACATGCCGCAGAGTGGCTGGGTCCGTGAGCCATGGCCGCTGAGCCTGCGCGTCCGGAGCCTGTGCTCCGCAACAGGAGAGGCCACAACAGTGAGAGGCACGCATACAGCAAAAAACCAAAAAAACAAAAAAACTTTATTGCTAAAAGATGCTAACTTTCAGCGAATCATACTAGTAACATCAAAGACCACTGTTCACATATCACCATAACACATATAATAATGAAAAAGTTTGAAATATTGAGAGAATTACCAAAATATGACAGAGACACAAACTGAGCAAATGCTGTTGGAAAAATGGCACCAATAGAGTTGCTCAACACCAGGTTGCCACAAACCTTACATTTGGAAAACAAAAAACAATCCCACAATACCTGCAAAGTGCAAATAAAATGAAACACAATAAAACGAGGTCTGCCTGTATTTTGGTTTGGAACCCAAACAGATTAAGACAGGTTTTGGTCTTACAAATACCTAAGAATGTGGAAGTAGCTTTGGAACTGGGTTACGGAAAGAGGCTGGAAGAGTTTTGAGGTGCCTCCTAGAAATATGGGTATTAAAGGCCATTCTGGTGAGGTCTCAGACCTCAGAAATGAGGAACACATCATTGGAAATGGGAAGAAAGGCAATCCTTGTTGTAAAGTGGCAAAGAACTTCACTGCACTGTGTTCCAGTGTTCTGTGGAATGTAGAACGTGTGAGCAATGAAACTGGATGTTCAACATAGGAGATTTCCAAGCAAAGTATTGAAGGCACAGCTTGGGTCCTCCTTACTGATTACAGCAAAATTCGAGAGGAGAGGGACTTCCCTGGTGGCGCAGTGGTTAAGAATCCGCCTGCCAGTGCAGGGGACACTGGTTTGAGCCCTGGTCCAGGAAGATCCCACATGCCGCAGAACAACTAAGCCCGTGTGCCACAACTCCTGAGCCCGTGCGCCACAGCTACTGAAGCCCACGCATCTAGAGCCCACGCTCAGCAACAAGAGAAGCCACCACAATGAGCAGCCCACGCACCGCAACGAAGAATAGCCCCCACTCACCACAACTAGAGAAAGCCTGTGCGCAACAACGAAGACCCAACCCAGCCAAGAAAAAAAATATTCGAGAGGAGAGAGATGAATGAAAAAGGAATTTGTTAGCCCAAAAGGAACTAGAACTTGGAGGTTTGGTAAATTCTATCCATGTTGCAAAACACGAGAAAACTTGTTCTGAAGAGAACACTAAGGGCGAGGCTGAGCAACCATTTGATAAAGACATCATGGGTGTGACTCGTAGATGTAATCAGCCATCTCAGCAGAAGCCAGGGACAGAAATGGGACTATACCAGCAGAAACACAGCCAGCTGGGACTAAAGGGGATAGAAAAACCAGACAAATGAAGGAAGGCTGTTGGACTTCTTAGATCCTATAAAGCCCAGACAATAGAGCTTATTCTGCTGCAAACGTGCGCCGTGCTTCAAGAAAGGGAAGAATGACTCTGAACTTGACTCAGAGATCTTGAGGCTGCCTCCTCAGTTTCAAAGGGTGGGGACATCACCTTGGTTTCAACAGGCCAGACAGCCTCCAGCCACAGTCTGGAGGCAGGGCTGCCCAGCAGAGCTTGGCAGCAGGATGGCTGCACGAGCAGGTCTGGAAGGTGGGACACAAAGCCAGAGAGGTTTATCCTCACCTGAAGACCTCATGGAGTTTGCTTTGCTAGGTTTTGGGCTTGCTTGGGATCCATCACCCCTTCCTTCTTTCCTATTTCTCCTTTCTGGAGTGAGAATGTCTATCTTATGCTGTCCCACAATTGAATTTTGGAAGCACATCACCTATCTGGTGTCACAGGTTCACAGCTGGACATGAATTTTGCCTCAGGATGAATGATACTTCAAGTCTCACCCATCTCTCATTAATGTGATATTTAGGTGAGACTTTGAACTTGACTTTAGAGTTGATGCTGCAATAAGTTAAGACTTTGGGGGTTGTTGGGAGGGAGTGGATGTATTTTTGCATGTGAGAACATGAATTTGGGGGGCCAGGGACTGAAATGTTATGGACTGAATTGTGTCCCACCAAAATTCATATGTTGAAGTGCTAACTTCCAATGAGACTGTATTTGGAGATAGGGTTTTTCAGAGTAAATTAAGGCTACATGAGGTCATAAGGCTGGATTCCTAATCGGACAGGACTGGTGGTTTTACAAGAGGAAGAGAGCAAGCGCTTTCTTTCTCTCCTTCCATGCTCAGGCACCAAGAAAAGGCCATATGAGGACACAGCAAGAAGGCAGCCATCTGCAAGCCAGGAAGAGAGCCCTCATCAGAGACCAAGGCCAACACCTTGATCTTGGACTTCCAGCCTCCAAAACTGTGAGAAATTAATTTCCGTTGTTTGAGTCACCCAAGCTACGGCAACCCATGCAGACTAAGATAAAAACGTACCAAAAGTAAGTAAACAGAGTCTCAGGAACCTGTGAGACTAAAGATCTAACACTTGTTAGACGGGGTGGGGGTGGAGGCTGAAGATGTATTCAAAGAAATGGTGGCTGAGAATCCCCCAAATCTGGCAAAAGACACACACCTACAGCCTCAAGAAGCACAGAAAGCAGGATAAACTGAAAGAAATGCACACTAAGACATCACAGTCAAACTTGTAACCACTAAAAACACAGTACTCAAAATGTTTGCAAAAATAATCTTCAAAGTTTCAGTGAAAAAAAGAGCCAAATATAAAGATGTCACCTGCCTCTATTTAACAGTAAAATGATGAAAGATGTTTCTAGTGTTTTCAAGTTGTTTACCACTTAATATGCCACGTCAGTTCAGGTCTACAGGTAAATTAAACGATGGTATGAAAAAGCCTAGAGTACAAACTACATACAACTGAGGCAACTTTTTATAAATATGCACATTCTCAGGTAACTCACCTTAAAACAGACTGAAAGCATCAGAGGTCCCTTCTGTAATCTCCCTTTCTAGGTTGTCAGTCTTGACCCTTGGAGTTGTGATTCTTAGTAAGTAACTTCCCAATGAACATGGTCTAAAAGACCAAAAGTGCAGAAGTGGACTTGCCAGGCCAATATTCCTTGGCTTCAAGATGGAAACTTTGTGACTGACTAACAAGCCTGACTGATACTTTTCCTGGTTCTTGGTACTCATTTGAGTAGTTATCTCAATCAACATTTGAGTTCATCCCCCAGCTCTTTTTGTCTATGCTTTCTATCCACCTCCTAAGTGCTCTGATATTTAAGACCAAGGACAACATCCCTTCCACCACCACTCTCAACCCTGTACAGGTTCATTGTGAATTGCCAACCTCTTATTTCCACCCTTGCAATTTGCCTAAAAGGACCGTTTATCCCTTCAAAACTTCATCTCCTTAGCATTATGAGACCACCTACCCCAGCCAAGATGGCCTCTTTCCATCATGGCACACCCTATTTCTCTCGCAAGGATTTGGTAGCTTACATACACATTAGGGTGTTGGAAATAATTTTCCTTTTTCCCCAGGGAAATACACAACTTCCTCTGTTACTTTAAAAAATGTAAAACCCTTCTTTCACTCTAAATAAGCTATGTCCCATATCAACAATGACTTCTCAATTAGATCTTTTTTTGTAACACAGTCTTAAATTCCTTTGTAGCCCTCACAGCATGTACAATAATTGTTCAATAAATATGTTCTGAACATACTACATGTACAGGACCTTTATCCAGTATGAATTCTCTTTTGCTGGCCAAAGGTTGAATGCTCACTAAAGGCTTTTCCATATTCCTTGGTTTTCCCTCCAGAATGAGTTTTCTGATGTTGAGAAAGGGATGAACTCTGGCTGAAAGCTTTTCCACATTCCTTACACTTATAAGGTTTTTCTCCAGTGTGAGTTTTCTGATGCTTTGTAAGAGATGAGCTCTGGCTGAAAGCTTTTCCACAATCCTTACACTTGTAAGGTTTCTCTCCAGTGTGTGTTCTCTGATGACGAATAAGGGCTGAGCGGTCACTGAAGGCTTTGGCACAATCATTGCATTTGTAGGGTTTCTCCCCAGTGTGAGTTCTCTGGTGTTGAGTCAGGGCTGAACAGTAGCCAAAGGCTTTCCCACATTCATTACACTCATAAGGCCTCTCCCCAGTATGAGTTCTCTGGTGCTGAATAAGGCCTGAACGATCACTAAAAGCTTTCCTACATTCATTACACTTATAGGGTTTTTCTCCAGTGTGAATGACCTGATGCTGGGTAAGGAATGTGCTTTGGCTGAAGGCCTTTCCACATTCATTACACTCATAAGGTTTCTCTCCAGTATGAATTCGCTGATGTTGAGTGAGGTATGAACTCTGATTAAAGGCCTTCCCACATGCAGTGCATTCATAGGGTTTCTCCCCAGTATGGATTATATGATGCCGAATAAGGGCTGAGCGGTGACTGAAGGCTTTCCCACATTCGTGACATTTGTAAGGTTTCTCTCCCGTATGAATTCTCTGGTGTAGAGTAAGGTGTATGCTCTGACTAAAGGCTTTACCACATTCGTTACATTCATAGGGTTTTTCTCCTGTGTGAATTCTCTGATGTAAGACAAAAGCTGAGTAGTAACTAAAGGCCTTTTCACACTCATTACACTTCCAAGGCTTCTTTTCTGCAAAAATTTTCTCATGTTTCATTAGATCTGAATTTTGTTTCAAGTTCTTTTTAAATGAATCACAATTGTGTCGTCGCTCTCCTTGCTGCTGAACAAGTAATGTCCTCCGACTAAAATTTCTTCCAAATCCATCACACTGGTAACTTCTCTCCCCAGAAGGTTTCTTCTGAGGGACAACCTCTTGTATTAAATGTTTCTCATGGTTTTCCTGCCGACTCTCTAAAGAATCCTCACATTCACTGGAACTTTCCTTTGGAAATCTCTCTATTAACACCCCAGTGTTAACAGGGGCTAATTCTTCTTCAGAAATGTCCTGCTCTGGAGTTAGCTCCTTGCATTCCAGTCCTGTATCCCAGTGTGAAAGAAACAAAAATACAATGTATCATTTCCTACACTGAGAGAAAAATAATTGCTGTGGTAGGAAAATAATGAAACAAACAAAAAATGCTTACAGGGGACAGAGGAACTTGTAAGTTCTCAAAAATAGCCCTGCAACCTTGAGAGAGCGTGAGAAAAGAAAGATGACTGGGCAAAGCAGTGCTCAACATTCCTGTATCCAGCAGGGGAGGAAATGAGAAAGAATAACAGAACAAGACTAAACAGAGGTGATGGGGGAAATAGCAGATAAGAAACAGGTCTGGTGGAGACTGGACTGGGATCAGAAAATGATGGTCACCCATGGATTGCCCACTGTCACCACCTCACCAGAGCACCATGCCCTGAGAATGTCCATCACTAGCTGATCTTACCACCGATCTTTTCTTGTTCCAATATGTCCCAATCACTGCTGGCAGACTAACCTTTTTAAAGCATACCTCTTACACAAAAATCTCTGTTGGTTCCACTGTCTCAAGGTGAGACACAAATACTAGAAGCTAGCATTCAAGGTAGTCCAGATCTACAAATGCAATTAGTAATTAAAAAGCAACTGATCATCTCTGACCGCGCCACACCGAACAAATTGGAAACAGCAAAACAGAACCAACCTTTACAAAAAAATAAGTAGTGTGTGGGGAGGGGAAGGTCAAATCCCCACATGCTCAGATTGGTCCCCAACCTGTCAGGACACCTGTCCCCAAATTCCAGGCTTCTTAGGAAGAGTCTGGGGGGAAAACCTGCACTGCTAGAAATGTTTAAATATTCTAGGCTTAAATGGTCATTACTATCCATTCCAACCATGACTCTACATGAAATAAATCAATACGATATAACGTTCTCAATGACGTATCATAATCAAGGAAGTGGCTAGGATTGTAAGGATAAATAGGTAGAAACAGCTTAAAGGCAAATGGACTTTTAGCTAAGGGGAGTGGAAGAACTGAAGCCCCAAACATTTGCAGAAAACACATGGTTAGCGGAGGATAGTCAGAGATTTGCCTGTCTTGTGTTAAGGGTTCATGTTGAACAGAGAAGATAAAATGACTAGGCAGGTAGGTCTTGAAGGCAGGTAGAGGAATACAGAACTGGCAGAGTAAACAAATCACTGTGGGAAATCTGGCAGTATTATGCTGCCTAATTAGACAAGGATAAGAAAGTATAATTAAAAGCTAAAGAAAGTATAATTAGCTGGTAGTCTATTGCAGTATCCAGTTTGACAAAAGTGATAGGCTCAAATCCATGACATCTTTCAAAAGAAAAGTTAGCAGGACTTAATCATTAGCTATCATTTGCTTAGCACATAGCCACGTACTGTCCTAAGCATTCCCTTGGATTATTTCATTTGATCCTCACTACAACCCTATGAGTTAAGTGCTATCATTACCCGCATTTTACAGTTGGGGAATTTGAGTCACAGAAAGAATAATCAATCTGTTAAAGCTCACAGAGCTAGTAAGCAGTTCAGATTGGCTTTGAACCCAGGAAGAGTGGTTCCAAAGTCTGCACTCTTAACCACTATGCTATGCTACCTCCACTTAGAGAAGAAGGCAAGGGACGACTCAGAGATCAATTTATAGTCATCGTTCTGAGACAAAAAGTCACGTTATCCTGCAGAGATAAAATAACATATATGAAAAAACCTGGGGCTTCCCTGGTGGCGCAGTGGTTGGGAGTCCACCTGCCGATGCAGGGTACACGGGTTCGTGCCCCGGTCCGGGAGGACCCCACATGTCGCAGAGCGGCTGGGCCTGTGAGCCATGGCCGCTGAGCCTGCACATCCGGAGTCTGTGCTCTGCGATGGGAGAGGCTACAACAGTGAGAGGCCCGCGTAACGCAAAAAAAATAAATATAAATAAATAAATAAATAAATAAATAAAATAAAAAACCTGGTTTAGAGCCTTGCACCCAAACAAACTATTAACAATCATTAAAATGTTGACTTCATTTCACCTTATTTGGGAAAAAGAACTGGTTTGAAAGGGTGGAAAGTACTGACTTTCTAAAAAATAAAATTATGACTCTGTAACAGGTCAGCATACACAGAGCTGGAGTATGGCCCAGGAGAAAGGCACTTCACTTCAAGCTTTCCATGGGTCTAGCGAAATCTGGAAAGGCTCCTCCACAAGCACTGCAAAGATGCTTTTCCCACTGACCATCTGGGTTTTACATTCACTGTTTCCAAAAATCACTCACCTGGACTAGTTGCTTTTGAGACTTCTCTCTCCAGCTCCTCCTCACACTCTAACTGAGAGATTACATCAGGCTTGGAAATTGGAAGCCCTGTTCGTGGGGAAAGAAAAAGGAGTCTGGTAAAGAGCTCAGTGTTAGCTCCTTGGTCGTTAGAAAAGACAGTATGAGAGAGAAAGGTCGGTTCTGGATTTCTCCCTCAATAGCGCTCAGAAGAAGGTAGGAAGATTGATATGGGGTCTATTTGAGTTCAGAGCAACTGAATCACTTGTTTTTACCTCTCCCTATTAAAAGGATAAGCACCCATCTTAACATCTCTTAAGAGGTGTTTTTATTAGAACTTTGTCTTAACATCCTGGTCAGGGAGTAGGGAAGGACGCTACCGCCTAGAGGCAATTACGATATAAAGGTGTCCACTCCTGACTCCAGAAGGTTTACATTTATATCCGGAAACAAAAAGAAGAAATTGCCTGCATCAGACTTTACATAGGGATTAAGAATCTTTGAATCTAAGAACGTTAGAGCTCCTAGGAACTGAGGAAGCAAAGGTACCACACTGGGTAAATTCCCACACTGGATGGGGGCCGGGGTGATGCTTACCCAGCAAGACCAGATTCCTATGCTTCTCAGGCACATCTCCTTGAGGAGTGTTCAGCTGCCCCCACTGGGTGAGAGCCTCAGCCATATCCCTGATCATCGACTCCTGAAAAACCGAACACATCAAGTGCTCACCAAGGGACATCCTTCCAGAAGCCTCTGGGAAGGACTCAAACAGACGGCATAAGAGGAGAAAGACAGGAAGGACAGGAAGGTTAGACAAAACGACCTCTACCATCCCTTCCAATACTAAGATTCTCTGGTGTATCTGGAGTCACAGACTCGCTCCTTACCTCCACGCATCAGAATCGCAAGTGGGAAAGAACACCTGCAGGGTAAAATTTGAAGGTACCAAGTTACTAGTTTACGTGGTGAAAAGTTAAATGATAGAACTACAGAAATCCTTACTATTTAGATATGGGAAAGTGGAGAAAATATAATTATGAATTAAGTATTTTCTTTATGGTATGGTTTTAAAATACAAGAGATTCAAGAAATATGAATTATTTTTCTCTCTCGTTTTCCTTTGAGAATAAAATCAGTCCAATATATTTTCTAAAAATTAAGGTGTTTGCTACACATGTCACAGTATATAGATTTGTAAAACAGTATTTCAAGGGCTTCCTGGGTGGCGCAGTGGTTGAGAGTCCGCCTGCCGATGCAGGGGACACGAGTTCGTGGCCCGGTCCGGGAAGATCCCACATGCCGCGGAGCGGCTGGGCCCGTGGGCCATGGCCGCTGAGCCTGCGCGTCCGGAGCCTGTGCTCCGCAGCGGGAGAGGCCACAGCAGTGAGAGGCCCGCGTACCGCAGAAAAACCAACAACAACAGTATTTCAAGCCCAAATTATCAGAGTTCCGAAAGTGTTCTTGCCATTTCTCCCCAGTCGGTCTGACCACTCTCCCCCTACCTCCACCATCTCCTCTCTACCCCATCATACACTGCTCCTCCTGCATTCTCTGTGCTCCAGCTGCCGGCTGCCCTTTGGCTGCCTGAAATGTATGTCATACTCCCTCCCTTCTGCCCCTTTACACACACTGCTTTCTGTCCCTGAATGTTCCCCCCTTGCCCCATCCTTTCAGCTATTTTAATCCTACTCACTTTTTGGATCTCAGCTCAGGGGTTACCTCCTCAGGGAAGCCTTCCCTGACTCTCTGGGTGGTAGCACCATGTTCCTTTCCTCCTCTTGGGTTATGCACACAGCAAGGGGACTTTGTGATTAACGTCTGTCTGTCCCATTAGAAGCTAACCTCCAAGAGAGTAGAGGCCAGGTTTAATTTTGCTCAGTGAAGCAGCCCTAGTCTTTGGCACAGAGCAGGAACACGGTGAATATTTGTCAAAGAATTAAAAGAGGGTGAAACACTTGAACAAGAATTAATAGAAACAAGAATTAAGTTTAAATGGGGTGTTCTATAAAAGTGTGCCTGGGAACAGAGGTGGGAGGGGAACAGAAGTGTATCAAACATTGAAAACATTACAGGAGTGTTTACTTTACCTTACCTTGACCTAGATGACAGGCACAAAGTTTAGATCGTCTACTAAAATGTAGGGAGAGTGCGCAGGGTGGGTAATGCTCCTTTGAATCTAGAGCTGAATCTGTTTACTGCTGATAAAACAAATGTCTAATAATTTTTCTAACTTTATTAAAATTTTTTTCTATACAACTTCAATGTAATGGAGTCACATTGAAACAAACCAGTCCCTGGGATGCTAGCAAATGAACCAGTCATGGCTTTCTTTGAAACACCACTTTTGCCATAGCCCCTGAATATATATGTATATACATATATACATGTTATATGTATACACACACACGTATATATGTATACATACCCTCCAAAACCAACTGGTAAAATAATTCACATAATGACATAAGGTTAAGAGAACTACCTACTTTGAAAATCCCCTGCTCAAAATAATTTATATCTTCTTCTAATACCTGAACTATGAAATAACTTCCCTTTTTATTTAAGTTATGGTCCCTTAAGGCCACATGCCTCAGGAGTGCTTAACACAAGCCATGTAATTTGTACAGTCTCTTTTCTTTACAAACGATGCAGCAGTAACAGACTACCTAGCAGTTCCTTTCAGACTTTAGTTCTGAGAAAACCTCAGCAATCAAACTCATTTAAGGAGCTGCTGCTCAGGGTGAGTACGTGGGGGGTTTGAGGGCACAGGTAGACCAATCACACACTGTCCAGCAGATGCTACTGACTCTCTCTCCTCTTCCCTCTGAAAGAGATCTACCAATTCAGATCAGAATCAGTACTGGTGTTTCTTCCTAGCGTTTTGCATGCACTGTCAGCACCTGGATGCTGTGAGGCAGGTCTGAGGTTGACAGGCAGTCCCAATGCCTTTAACACGGGGTCTACCATTCTCCCGGTATCCTAGACCAGATCCTACAGAAGTATCTTGACTAATCTTCTCTCTCCAATCATTCACGGCATGTTTTGTCTTGCTGGGCCTCTAAAAACTTTCATGGGGCCTCATCTGCCTTTGGAATAAGATCCTGTGTGGATTTTTCCTGTGGTCTGGCTACAACACGCCTACACTTCCCTCATCACACTCCAGCTCACTCCATAGTGACACACATTCTCCCTGAAGACCTCTGACTCTCTCATCACTTGGGAGACTTTTGCCAAAGCTGTTCTCTCTCTCGGAATATTCCTATATTCTATTTTCCAACTACCTACTCTCTCTTGTCTTCCAAAATGCAGCTTTTATCCCAGCATTTTACCCCCAAATACTCTAGAGGATGGAAAACCTCTTCTAAGGTCTTTTATGACTTGTCTGTACTAGTAATTTCTCTATTAAAAAAATATATATTTCTTCTTGCTATTTAACTATTTTTCTTATCTATATCTTATTTCCTCAGTAAACTTCACAAGGCAGAGGCAACTGGCTTTTATTCCTTTGCATCTCGCCAGGAGGCCAATTACAGCACTGAAGAGCTTATAAGTGTGCATCTAGCACTAAGTGGGTAGAGAAGTGATGCCAGGAGGGAAAGCTCTGTCCATGTGAGGAGCATTTACTATCAGGTTCACTGCTCATCATTTTATTAGGATGAAGCCAGTGGTCTAGGAACCATGGCTGAGCAAGTCCATAACAATGCTAGAAACCATATTCATGTTCTGAGAACAGAAAAAAAATGAAGAAATTTAAACCCACCTGGTATGCAGGGGTCAGCAGCACAGTGGTCAGGCCATTTTCTTTTGGGTTTCCAGCATGGGGAAGGTCTGAATTCTCAGAAAGTGACCCTAGAAGTGGATATAGGAAGCCCAGTGATTACTCTTGCTTGCAGTATACTCACAGAAACTGCCACACACAACTAATTGTCACCTAAGAAGAGTCAACACAGGGAATCAAGGGACAATCCCACAACATCTCTTATACAAGACAGTCATGACCATGGCTGCCTCAGGTTCCTCCTATGCTCCTCTGCCCTTAAACTCCAGTAGAACTCTGCTACGAGATCCTGGACACTTAAATACATATTTCCATTTCTCATCTGCTGAGTGTAGTCAAAATAATCTCAAAGTCTCGGTGTGTCAATCCGTGCCTCAATGAGTCACTCCTGTTCTATTCCAGGCTCACAGGATGAAAGTTAAATTCTTTTTAAACATTGGCTTTTCAGATACAAAACTGGCTTTCTCAGAAAAGCAATGGGCCTGTGGGGAAAAAAATCCAAGTACTATAAATAAATCCTGTGACTTCTCGAATCCTCACTTGCCCCATCTGCCAAATGGGTCTATTTACCGCCTTACGAGGTTCCTGTGAGAACAAAAGAAAGTCATTATCAAAAGCCAAATTGTCAGGTACGGTGATTTGGTGGGGGGGCAAAGGAGGTATACATCATCCTAAAGACCAGCAGGGCAATATAGGTAGCAAGCTCCCCTTAAACCTCAACATGAGACCAACTGGTAGGAATGGGCTCTCTCCCAGAGAAGACGTGATGCTTGTCCTTCCAGAGCTTGCCCCAGCCAGAGGGCAGCCTTTCTCCTTTTTTCTCTCCAGCAGGCGGCATCCTTCTGAAATTCTCACCTCTGCCCTTTGGCTCCATGGCGACTTCCTCCCCGCCGGCGCCAGTGACGACCGTGGGAAAATGGCGCGACGAACGCACTAGGGGCCGGGGGTCCACAGCTCTAGTCCACCCCGAGGCCCGGGAACACGCGCGCGACCCTATAGCTGGGCAGCCCGGTGTCCTCCACCCGGATGCCCTCCACCACCCTCCTTCCGGCCACTCAGACTCCGAAGGACACGCGCTCAGCCCTCCTGGAGCCTAAGCTCGACCATCTCAAACAACGCTGTGGAGGCCGGCTCGCGACAAAGGTATCTAGGAGCCGGCCGGGCCGAGTCGCGCCAGCCCGAACTCGCTAATGAACTACAACTCCCAGAATCCTCCGCAGGGCGCGGCGCGCGCCACTGGAGGACGCTTCCCAGAGGACCCCGCGAGGCCGCCTCTGCCCCCGGCTTTGCATCTCTGCGGTGGTACGCGGCCGTGCTGGGTCTTTAGGAGCGCTCGGCCTCTCGGAGAGCTCTTTCCTGGACGCTCCAGGGGCCGCCTCTTCCTCAGTGTGTACTCTGGGCTTCGACCCCGGAGGACGTGTTCGGCCGCGCCAAACCCCGCCTCGAGAGGGAAATTCAGTCGCAGCCAACTGTAACTGGCAGAGGGCGGCGCCCCCCTACTCACCTCTTCCTCCCTGGCTGCTGTGCTCCCTCGGAGGGAAGGCGCCCGTGTTCCAAGGATGTTCACCCCACCACGTCGCTTCCCCTGTACTGCGCCTCCACGACCCACTGTCGGGGGGCAGACATTACCTCAAGTAACCAGGGATGTTTATTCCATGCTGCACCTCGCAATATTGAAAAGCAGAATCTCAGTCCCGGAAAGCACCTCAGTCCGGTCCCCAAGAAGCTATTAGTTAATAGTTGGTACCGCTGACCTTAAGGTGCCTGGAACATGAAAGTCTTTCAAACTCCCAAGGAGCTCCAGGAAATCTCAGCTGGGAGTGGGGTTATCTTCAGGCTGGTGCATGTTCTCACCTTCCTTCCCACAATAAAGCCAATTTTCTATCCAGCTCAAGTTCCCAAGAAAGAAAATCAAAGTACCTAACTGTCCCTGCTTGGGTATAAGCAACAACGTCTGTTTGTCCTTTCTCTAATAGAATCCCCAACTTTTAGCTAGGCTTAAGGCTGCCTGGAGTAAAACTGACATTCCTCATCATCCCTACCTCTTGACAGGGGGATGAGAGCAAAGTGATTTTTTTTTTTGCGTTACGCGGGCGTCTCACTGTTGTGGCCTCTCCCATTGTAGAGCACAGGCTCTGGACGCACAGGCTCAGCGGCCATGGCTCACGGGCCCAGCCCGGCATGTGGGATCTTCCCGGACCGGGGCACGAACCCGTGTTCCCTGCGTCGGCAGGCGGACTCTCAACCACCGCGCCACCAGGGGAGCCCCGAAGTGATTCTTAAAGGGAAGAAGAAACTCCTCCATGCTGACTGGAACGCAGGCTAGTCATTGTGGTTGGTGTGGACAAGGTTAATACCCTAGGAATGGCAAACCAATAAGACAGAAGGAACTGAGCCCCTAACATTTTGGTGGAACAGAGCTTGGGCTTTAATGTGGGAGAGATGTAAACTTCAGTTTTGTAGAAGCCACTATTATACTGGGTTTCTGCTATACAGATAATTATGCTTATCTCCTAATTCATCTCTAGATTGGCTGATTTTGGTCCAATCAGCTAGGGCTGGGAGGAGAGGGTGCATGTGATAGAGAACACAGCCCTGCCAGCTCAAGCTGGAGGGAACCAACACCCCCTTCTCCACCACCCCCATCAGCAGGAGATATGGAGTGGGCAGTTTCTTTCAAAAAATAGTGTGTGAAAGGTACCACCAGTTGACATATCTGGAACACCTGGGAATACCTTTCTTCCTTTTGTTAACTATCACCATGAAATTCCCTTTCATTACCAAATCAATGAGCAGTTCTCAGTCCTCTCACTTTACCTATGAACAGTAGTTGATAAAACTGACTAGTCCCTCCTGGAAACACTCTGGTTTTCCTCTTTGGCCACTCCTTCTCAGTCTCATTAAGTAGTTCTTCCTCCTCTTTTCCCTAGCCTCTAAACCAGTGGTGGTCAAACTATAGCATGGTCAGGATCACCTGGAGAGCTTGTGAAACCATAGTGCTGAACTTCACCCCTATTCAGGATGTCTGAGATGGGCCTGAGAAATTGCATTTCTAAGAAGTCCCCAAGTGATGCTGAAGCTGCTCATTTGGGAACGAACTAAATGTTGGAATATCCCAGGGCTCAGTCCATGGACTTTGTTTCTTTTCCAATCAACACTTACTCCTTGGTAATCTTGTTCATTCTAGATAGTCTAAATACCACCCAAATGTAGTCAACTTCCAATTTATGTCTCTAGCCTAGGCTTCTCCCCTGACCTTGAACTGTCTCCTCAACCTCTTTACTTGGATGTTCGATAAATATCGCTGATGTAGCATGTTCAGAAGTGAACTTTTGATGTCTTTCCTCCCCCACTGTAGTTTTCCCCACCTCAGTAAATGGCAACTCCATCCCTCTATTTGCTCTGTTCAAACACCTTGGAGCCACCATTCGTCTCTTTGTCTCACCACCCACGTCCACTTCCTCCCCAAATCCAGTTGGCCATACTCTCAAAATCTATGCAGAATCTGACCACGTCTCACCACCTCCACTGCTACTACACTTTTCTAAGCATCCATCATCTGTTTTCTGGATCGCTGCAAATGCCTGCTAACTGCTCTCACTCCTACTCTTGCCCTGCATATTCTAGTCTCAACACAGTGCTCCCCTGTCTCAGAAAAGAAGCCAAAGTCTTTACAGTGACCCACAAAGCCCTTCAAAATCTGCATCACTGGGAATTCCCTGGTGGTCCAGTGGGCAGGACTCGGTGCTTTCACTGCCATGGCCCGGGTGTGTGCGGTGCGGCCAGAAAAAAAAAAGTCTGTATTATCCACACCCACTAACTCTCTGATCTCATCTTCGACTACTTTCCCCTCCTTTGTTCTGCTGCAGCCACACTGGCCTCTTTGTCACTTGTCAATCAAGTGAACATGCTTCCACTATGGAACCTTTGGGCTTGTTCCCCTGTCTGGATATCCTTCCCCACATGCCCACATGGCTTGCTCTCTCACCTCCTCCCAGCTTTTGTTCATCTTCCCTGTGAAGCCTTCTCTGACCACATTATTTTTTTTTCGCATAGCACTTATTGCTTGCTAACATATGATTATTAATTTTGTTTACTAGGTGTCTCCAACACACATGCACCACAGATTAAGCTCCATGGGGCAAGGGGTATCATTAGAGTATTTACCAGTACTTAGATGATTAACAGCTGAATGAGAGTATGCTCTGTACTTGTGGAGAAAGAATAAATGCCTGCAACTAATATGGCCCTCGTTGCTTTTCTTGGCTCGCATTTGTGTGCTGTTGGAAAACCTGGACTTCCTTTATAACCCTGCTTTTATTTGCACAGGCCCAACGTTTGAATGGACACTACCAGCTGGCCCAAGTGCATAAACTGGTGTCACAAAGCAGCAGAGAGGAGCTGGAATCCCTTGGGATTAAAAACCCATTGGTCGGGCTTCCCTGGTGGTGCAGTGCTTGAGAGTCCACCTGCCGATGCAGGGTACACAGGTTCGTGCCCTTGTCCGGGAAGATCCCACATGCCACGCAGCGGCTGGGCCCGTGAGCCATGGCCGCTGGGCCTGTGCACCCGGAGCCTGTGCTCCGCAACGGGAGAGGCCACAGCAGTGAGAGGCCCGTGTAACGCAAAAAAACCCCAAAAAACAAAAACCATTCGTCCCCAGTGAGTCCCCATTGTCTCTTAAGGGTGGATTGACCTTGAGCTTTCCTAAATTTATTAAAGTTCCTAAGTTTAAATTTGAGAGTCACTGTTTCTTTCTAGTCTGTCTTTGTGTTTGCCAAAACAACCCGCCAGGAAAGCATCCTTGCCTTCCTCAAGAAGCTACGGTGCCATCAAAGGCCATGAACTTTGACGTGAAAGTTGACGTAAAGAGAGGTAAACAAGGAATCAGTTAATCACCATGGAAGAGGGAAAAACCGAAAAGTAAAGAAAGGGTTTGGGTGGAAAACAGGTGGAGGTTTGAGGGACATGAGATTCAAGAGAAGAGAGAGGTGCTAAAGGTCTCAGGCAGTCAGAGAGGAAGGCAGACTTGAGACAGGAAATCGAGCTTGGATTGAAATAGCAAAGGGAATAAATCAGGTGTGAGTCCTGGGCCTGGTCACGTTACCTCTGGGCCTCTGCACCGACCCTCAGCTCTTTGCTCCATCTCAGCTGCCAGAGCCTGGGAGCGCACTCAGCCTTGTGACTGCACCACCTGCAGCAGGCCAGTTATTGGCCTGGGTGCGCCAGTCTCTCCCCTTGCTTGCCACAGGCCAGATAACTGCACACTGCAGGTTCCTGGCTCCTGGTACCACGCCCAGACTTGTTGATGTGCCGCAGGGTGGGTTGTGGAATCTGGCTATGATGCAACCTGAAAATGCGAGGAAGATGGGAGGGATCTGATCAGATAAAATCCTTCTGCTTCTCTGCCCATCACCTGCTCCAAGGCATGGTTTCTCCACGTAGACTGTCTGGAGAATTCTTTTTTTTTTTTTTTTTAATTTTTAAATTAAATTTTATTTTTTTTATACAGCAGGTTCTTATTAGTTATCTATTTTATACATATTAGTGTATATATGTCAATCCCAATCTCCCAATTCATCCCACTACCACCACCGCTCCCCACCACTTTCCCCCTTTGGTGTCTATACATTTGTTCTCTACAAATGTGTCTCTATTTCTGCCCTGCAAACTGGTTCATCTGTACCATTTTTCTAGGTTCCACATATATGCGTTAATATACGATATTTGTTTTTCTCTTTCTGACTTACTTCACTCTGTATGACAATCTCTAGATCCATCCACGTCTCTACAAATGACCCAATTTCGTTCCTTTTTATGGCTGAGTAATATTCCATTGTATATACGTACCACATCTTCTTTATCCATTTGTCT